ACTGGCATTAGCTACTAAAAGTTGTGATAATTCAGGCTAAAATTTGGAGAAGAGGGTGGGTCAATAGGAATGAATGATACTTTAAATAATAACAGTAATAACAATATCCAATATTTGTTAAGCACTTTTAACTGTAGGTCCTTTACATTCATCACCTCGTTATTTGTTTTGCAATACTTTTATTATCAAACTTTCCATTTTATAGGTGAGAAAAACTGAGGTTCAAGAGGGTAATCTCATTTTTGCAGGAACCTCGAGTGTGTCAAGGCAGCAAGTTGACTATGGTGACTCCATTTGGTACCGCAGATGAAATTTCTCTTTCTTGGTAGAGTGCCAGTTACTGTAAGGAGGAATTTATGAAAAAGCAATTCTGTAGCCTCGCATGCCTTTAATCCCAGCACTTGGGAGTCAGAGGCAGGTGGATTTCTGAGTTTGAGGCCAGCCTGGTCTACAGAGTGAATTCCAGGACAGCCGGGGCTACACAGAGAAACCCTGTCTCGAAAAACAAACAAACAAACAAACAACAAAAAAAACAAACAAAAAGAAAGAAAGAAAAGAAAAAGCAATTCTGGAAAGAAAAGTAATTCAAGAATGTGGACTCTTTGCAATGGTCACCCTGACTTCACTATTTTGCTAATCACATATTTTGGTTTTTGAAATTATCTGCTTGCAGCTGCAGGAAGGGAATCATGGAGACTTTCCAGCCTTCAAGTAGTTTTTCTTGCTTAAATATGAACCTTAAGAAAGGCTTAGGGCTGCACTTGGGTCCCTAATATTCAGATATAGTCACTAGCTGGATGAAATAAAGACTTTAAATTGGCTCATAGATTTGTTTGAGTGGTCTATTCTAGTGGGAGCCCTGCAACACAAGCTTGTAAAAGGAAGTGAAGTGACAGCCTAAGAGAGTTCTGAGAGATCTCACCTTTCACAGTAAGACCAAAGTGCCTAAAATCTGTCCTTGCTCTACCCTTGCACTTTTGCAGAGATCTATGCTTTTTGTGCTTGTGTATGTGTAGTCCTGGTTGTTTTGTTGCTCGCTAATGTAGATCAGGCTGGTGAAGAACTCATTGAGATCAGATGTAAGCTACCACCCTGGCTCAGTTCCCAGAATTCAAGCACAGATCATGAGCAGGTTTATATGGGATGCTTCCGCGCTGCCTTTTAGCCATATGGTACACCTGAGCCTCTCCAGCCTCTCTCTTGGCCTGCTCCTGCAGTCTTAATCTCTCGTACTTCATCTTACATCCCACAACACCTCATGCTCCTTCCCCATTCAAGCCACACCCCTCAGGCCTTGCCCTTCCCTGGACCTACTCAGCCCCGCCTCCTCACAACCCGCCCACCCTCACGCTCCGCCCCTCCACACCCGCTCCTCCCACCTCTCATCACACCCTCACTGCTTCTCTCAGTACCACATCCTCGCGCCCCGCCCACCTCTCTCACTCCCTGCCCTTTCCACCGCTTGTCACACTAAGCCCCGCCCCTCGTGCCTCCTGCAGCCTTAACCTCTCAAACTCCACATCTCACGCTCCGCCCCTCCATACCACGCCCCTCAGGCATGCCCCGCCTTCCACACCGCACCCCACCCACCTCTCCTCCAAACAGCACTCCTCACACCTCAGCCCCGCCCCGCCCTCCACGCCCCGCCCTCTCACATGCTAGTTCCCTCTCACAGTCCACACCGGCAGCCGGCAGCCGGCAGCTCCATGAGACGCCTCTGGGATCCTCACTCTTAGACGCCACACTGAAAGCAGGGTGCCGCCAGCCGGCTGGGAGCCGGAGGCGAATTAGGTAATTTGGGGAACCCTTGGGCCATGCCTGGTGACTCAGTAGTCTCTCAGCTCCTGGCGTCAAGCCCCCGAGGCCCACCTGAGGAGCCGACCTGGTTCTGCAGGTCTGTGGACCGGGTTTCCCACAGTGTGTGATGTCTGTGGGAAGCATGTGGCAGCCCAGACCTACCAGCCGCATTCCCAGCATCCCTGGCTGCCGCTTGGCCCTCTGCCTCTCCACCCCTGACGTCCTCTCAACTTCATGCTCTCTTCTCAGGCCCTCATACCCCTCCCCTCAGGCCCTTACCCTCACCTCAAGCTCTTAGCCATCAGGCTCCCTTGCAAGGCCCCTAGGCATCTGCCAGGTCACACCTCGTGGACTTCCCTTCCCTCTCTTCCCTTCCCTGGATGGATTTCCAGGAATCCGTCCCATCCCCTACTCCGTCTTCCTTGTATCAGCCTTGGCTTTCTCTTTCATGAAGTAATCTGTGGAAAACTAACCCTGTGCCTTCGCCCTTGAGGTATCGGAGGGATGGGGATGAGGAGTGCATGGATGTGGGGGGCGGTGAGCGGTGAATACATGCTCAGTAAACCAGGGTCTCTAGAATGTAAACTCCCAGCGTTTGGCTTTTACATTTTTATTTATTATTTTAATATAGTACCAAAAATTACTTATAACTGTCTCTCACTTGGGGGCATTTTTCTTAACTTAGGTTTGTAGTTAATTCCAAGGCACCAAAAGGAAGTAGAGCCATCGCAGGGCACAAGCCATAACCAATAGCAAAGAGTCTTTCCCTAGGAACTGTGGTTTGTTAGATTGTGTAACCTTTAGTTTGATTCTTGCAGTCGTTGATCCAAGTTGACCTAAGTTTTTAATTCTGTGGCTGACCTTATGTTTGTCTCCATTTTGGCACAGTGTTCCCTTTTACCAAAACATTTAGTAGGAAAAAAGCTAGTTCTGTGGTGACAGTTTCAATGACGTATGAAAGTAGTAATTTGTATTCCCAAGTCAAAGTGATATGACATCTCTCCTCATTTTTTACTTCGAAATAGAGCTTTAGTTTGTCGTCAGTAGTCCAGGTTGTAGAAGTATCCATTTATTTCCTGTCTTTTATGTTAAGCAGAAATTCTAAGAGCCTTACTTCAAAATACTGAAATTCAATGGCGATTTCTTTTCGGACTTCTGATTATTTCTTTGTAGTTTCTTTTCTTTTTTAATTTTATAGCCCTTTGAAATTCTGACATTTTAGCTTCAACATTAATATATATATAGCCAGGCATGGGGTACATATGTGTAATCCAAACACATGGAAGCAGAAGCAGAAAGTTCAGGGGATCCAGACCACCTTTGTCTATAAACAACATATCTATAGTTATGATGATGATGATGAACCGTAAATAATATTTAGCATCCGAAAGAGAACAATGTGGTTACATACCTGGATGTAAATTAATGATCCAACATCAAATTCTTAATTCTTAGGAAACAGATGACCTTAGTTTTGTTCACTTTTTTTCATTGTTTCTTTCCTGTTTCTATTTCCTTTTTTTCCTAGAAATCTTGCCAGGGCCCTGGCTTGGGGGGTGGGGTTGGGGCAATCTTCTTTCTTCTTGAGGCAGTGGAGGGAGATGAGTATCACCAGGGGGTAAGACTTTGTCTTACAAGATATTTAGGGGTGCTGCATAATAAAAGTTTACTTATCTAAGTTACTATGCTACTGTAGCTGACCTGCCTTCTGTGATCCTCTGGGGCCAGAAACTGCAGTTTCTGGCACTTATCACCTCATCCTAAAAACAGCAAAGGATTAAGTAAATTAGCCTTTGTACTATCTCAGTATAAAAATACCTTTGTACTATCTTTATATGCCTTCAAGTCTGTGGCTCAGGAAGAAAAGACGCTTAGAGAAGCTATTATACAGTTTATTACTAAGTGTAAAAAGTTTCCTATTAAAGCTATCTAAGGGAAAAAGCAGAAAAGTCCTAAGTGGGTAAAAGGAGAAAATTCTAATAAGGGAAAAATTCTCCTAGGGAGGGAAAAGGAAAGGAAGGAACGACTGAACCACTCTTTGTCTTTGTCTTTGTCTTCGGTACTTATACATCTTTTGGAATACATGATCACATGTTACAAAATTCATCACAAGTTCACACCAAAAATCAAATCATAAATAGAAGTTTACTTGAAATATAAGTTTACAACAGAGAATGTTTACATGCATATCCATTAGGAGTAATTATCTGGCTTAACATCCATCACCTGTCTAGCTCCACAGGTTCACTGAAGGTTTAAAACCATAACTAAATTGTTAGTGAAGTTTGGTATAAACCCAGGCAATATTTTATCTTCTGTCCTAGCGCCTATAATAAATTGTTAGTTCCCTTTAGTGACCTTTGGTTAATTGTTTTACAACCTCTTGGAATGTGTAGGAGAAAGTCTGGTTACTATCTAAGGGCAATTAACTGGTGACACTTGGGAGACTGGCAGAGTTCTCATCACAGTTTTAACTATCAGAAAAGGACCTAATAGCAGTCTCACTATAAAAGAGCTTAATAATCGCTGATATAATTTTAGGAATTCTGATAGTATCATCATTAAGACTTAAGAAGTCATCTATTTGTCTATATAGCATCACTATAAGACAGTACACCTTCATGGATCTGCAGAGATCTGCTCCAAAGGGGTGTGCTATTGCTTAGTGATTGTTATATATGTTTAATAATAATAGGAAAAGCATATTAATAGCAGGAATCTTTCCTAAAAATGAGTCCCTTACAGCCTTGCTGAATAAAGGTACACCTGTCACAGATTATATACTAACCCAAGGCAGATCTTTTCAGGATGATCACCTGCTAGTTATTAGCTTTTCCCATTATGGCTCCTGGCACAATCTTTATGTACTTACTTTACTATATTAATAAGAAGATAAATTATATTCTCTGAATAGAAAATCTGAGATCAATTGATCTCGTTGAATACATTTAAATGGAGTGTGGTTCACAAGTTTCTAGACAGTTTTGTCCTTAGTTTTAATAATGCTCTAAATAACATTCTCATTTCTAATGAGAAAACTAATAACATCATGTTAGGAGATAATTTGAGTATTATTCTGTAGAATTAATGATACATTTTTATTGCAGTAAAAGAATACCAAAAAAGATTTTTTTAATCAAATTTAAGATATTTGTTTTGTGTTCTTTCTAGTTCTTTAAATACAACTAAGGAATACAGGCAACATGTTCTATACTCACGTGCTTATGAGTAAACGAGGGCCATTGGCCAAAATATGGCTTGCAGCTCACTGGGAGAAGAAACTCACAAAGGCCCATGTGTTTGAGTGTAATCTAGAGATAACCATTCAAAAAATTATTTCACCTAAGGTATGTTACTGATTAAAATGATGATTTGTATTAAGCATGGCTGCTCTAGAAGAATGAAAATGTTTCCAAGACAGTTTTGCTTCTCTAAAATATTCCCCCAAATTACTGTCTGTACAAAGACACTCTAATAGAGCATTTAAGTGAATCTTTGCTGAAGCTTTTATGGCTTTCTGAATACGTAAAAATAAAAGTAAATTATTTCATATGGTGAGTTTAAAACTAGTTTACTAAGGCTTGATGCCCCAATGTAGGGGAATGCCAGGGCGAGGAGGCAGGAGTGGGTGGGGAGCACCTCATAGAAGCAGGGGAAGGGGAGATGGGATAGGGTGTTTCTGGAGGGGAAACCAAGAAAGTGGATAACATTTGAAATGTAAATAAAGAAAATATCCAATAAAAATGTTTTTAAAAAAGCAATATAACACTTGCTTTTCAAAGAGAAATTATGATTTCCTTAATTTTCAAAGAACAGGATTTACAAGCTTAATCTTTATTTTTCTAATGTTTTAAAAATCACTCAAAGGTGAAAATTGCACTCCGAACTTCAGGACACCTCCTTTTGGGAGTTGTTCGAATCTACAACAGGAAGGCAAAATACCTGTTGGCGGATTGCAGTGAAGCATTTCTTAAGATGAAGATGACATTTCGCCCAGGTATACACACAGTGTTATTTTGTGTCACTATTGATTCCTTTTGGCATTTTCATGTTGGGTGATCTCTTTTAATTGGGAGCAAACTGTAATTTCAGGTGAATATAATGGATATACACTTCATTTTGACTGAGTCTTAAGATTCCATAAAGATAATTATATTCTTTCCCTCGTTCTTTTCCTTTGTTTGTAGGAAATAGTTATGCTTCCAAACTTGTTATGATTTCTGTGTTAATATAAAAATATACTTAAAATCATCACAATTATATAAGAAAGTGATACACTCATTTTTAATAGGTTGTTTAGCTCACCATACCTGGCTTTTTACTTTATAAGAACAAAATGATTGATAAAATGTAAACATAGAATTCTTGAGAGTCTTAAATTCATGGTAATTATGAAGTATTATCAAAATTTCTAGACATCCTACAGTGTTAGGTGTTTATGGTGTTATAAATATGGCCTAACATTTAAAATTTACACATACACCATTCCCTAGTCTTATACTAGTTAATAAAGGTCTTTCCTCCATCACTAGTCTTCAAGCTCCCTAAAGGGAGAATCTTTATCATATACATTTTTCTAATCCCTTACAGTACCTGTGTTAGTGCCTTTCATATCCCATCCCTCCATCAACATTTGTGGACTCCAACTGATAGCTCTTTTTTTTAATCTTTCTCATTTAAAATAGTTTTAGAGGCTTTATGTAGATTTATATGCATGCTAACTATGTTTTACATGCTCATTGACTAGTAATGTATCACAAATATTTGTTGATTCTCATGCTTTGTGCTTGACATGTTGTTAGGCTTTGGAAAACAAAGACAAGCAAGATAAATAGTTGCTTTTCAGTCAGAAGAGGAAATCAGATAATGAAAATGTTTTTTTAAAAAACTTACTACAATAATTACAGATTATGGTCATGCAGAGATCAAAGGCATGTGCTACTGAACCAATTAATGGCCATGCTATAAAAGAAACAAGGTCTACAATAGAAAACAAAAGAGTTCATTTTAGAGGATAGTTAGAGAAAACCTTTGTGAGGGGATAGAAGTTAAACTCACACTTGAAAAGTGAGAAGTACTCACATACATAAGTAGTCCCTGAGGGATGGCAATATAGGCAAATGAATCTACAAGTACAAATGTCTTGAGATGAAAAAGAAGTACTTGCCCTTTTCAGGGAACCAAAAGGCTAGTATGTATGTGGAACCTAATGTCTCCTTAGATGACGTAAGTAAAGGGCTACAGTGTTACTTTATTCATGCTTAAACCCTTAAGCATGAGAATTATCTGATCTGTTTACTTTTGGTGTCTGTTACTATGGATGCTTCATAAAATAATAGGTTGCTGAGGGGCAGGAGTGGATATAGGGAAGCCCATGAGAGATGACAAAGATTTAATTGGAAGTTTAATGTTTCATAAGTGATCACTGCTTATTGTGTTCCTTTTTCATTGTTTTCAGGACTGGTTGACCTCCCAAAAGAGAATTTTGAGGCAGCTTACAACACTATCACATTACCAGAAGAATTTCATGATTTTGACATCTACAATATGAAGTAAATTATTTTGCTTTTTGGTGTTTTATTGTTTTCATATTCAGATTTGATGAAAGCAACTTCAGCTAGAGAACAACTGAACAAGTACAAATGACAAAGGCTTAAATTGCAGTGTGAAATTCCAAAATACAAAACCAAAAATGTCTCATTGATTGAATGTTGATTGTGTTATTGATAGAATGTCTGCTCATCTAGTAAATATTTGTTAAATAAATGCCTTTCCTATAGCAGGCACAGTTCTAGCCAGTGAAGAGATATCAATGAATAAAACAGTTCCTGGCCTGATAGATCTTATATTTTAGTTGGTATAGACTGATAACAATAAGTAAATATGCAATATAAAGATAAGTAAATATTTAAGACAAATTAAGAAATAAATATAAATAATAGGATTGTCAGAAAAGGATTTTCTGATAAAGTAAGAACACAAGCCTGGAGGAGCTAAGGGAACAAACCTATACAATAACACAGAAGAATGTTCTAATGGAAATACCCACTGAAGTAAAAAGGCTCAGAGAATAGGCAAGAACCAAGTGGAAAGGCGATAGCACAGAGTCCATTGGACATGTTCAGGAGCAGCAAGAATGCAAGTGAAATGAAGTGGAATGAAGGAAAGACTGAGTAGTAAAGAAATGAGGTCAGAGAAGGAGCAAGAGATGCAGGTGACATAGGGTTTGTAGGCTGCGATAGGGTTTTTATCTTGCTGGGAGAGGATGCTCAAGAGGGTTTTCAATGGAGAAGAGAGGAATGACCAGATTTCACTTGGTCTCAGCATACGCCCTCTGGCTGCTTCACTATAATGAGGAAAGAAGGGAAAAGAAAGTCGTAAGATTACTGTAGTAATCCTTATAAGTAGTATTGGACCAGTTTTGAAACTTCACTTTATTAACATAGTAGCAAATTAATGGATATGTATGGAAGGCAGAGTAAATATGATACGTTGATGAATTAAATATACTCCTAAAGAAATAAAGAATGACTATTTAATTTGGGGCATTAAATGGAACTACCCCTTACTGAAACCAGGATAACTAAAGGATGAAGGTTGAGGAAGGAGAGAGAAGGAAGTAAGTTAGTTAGGTTTTTGGACAACAGAATTTGTGTCTGAATTTGTGTCTATGTTTCTCTAATTTCACGTGTTGAAACCTAATCCCCGTAGTAATGGTACAAATGGTGGGAACCTTTGAATGTGATAAGATTTTGAAAGCTGAGAGCCCTCCTTAATGCAGTCAGTGCCATTATAAAAGAGACAAAGGAAACTTTCTTACAGTTCTACTATATGACGATACAGCAGGAAAGTGTTGTCTGTGGGGATGTACTAGATACTAAATCTGTGATGCCTTGATCTTGGCCTTCCCAAACTCCAGACCCATGTGCAATGAATTTCTGTTTATAAAATTACCCAGTTCTTGTCAGAGACTTGACAAAGGAAGGCCAAAGTTAAGATGCCATAAATTCAGAGTCTTTTCTTCCTGGTTCATAGAAGGCGGTCTTTCTACATCCTTACCTGGTATAAGATCAAGATGGTAGTGTAGGGCCGCACAAATTCTGTTCATAAAAACAGAGCCCTCATGACCTAGTTACTTCTTAGAGGCCTCATCTCTTAATAACATCACCCTTGGAAGTAGCTTTCAGTATCTGGACCTGAAGGGAATTCAAACATTCAGGCCGTAGCAAGAGTGACCATCGATTCAAATGTACAAGTAAGATAGTGACTGGGAACCACCACTGGATGTATTAGCCTGACATGACTTGTCAGATATAGATATGTATGTCTTAAAGCTCATGCTCAGAAAAATACTATTGACAAAATAAACACCTTTTATTATAACCTGTTATTAAGTTTTTACCAGTAGTTTGTAAAACCACATTGTTCTGCTCATACATTTCCTAAATATGTTTCTCTATAGTGATATTGATATTTCAGAGCCCCTTGCTCAGAACCAAAGTAGACCAGAGGAAATCACACTTAGAGAAGAATATAGCAATGATCTACTTTTCCAAGCTGGGAGCTTTGGTGAGAATATTTGAGAAACTAAAATTATAAGATGTCATCAATTATATTTGCATTTTGTATGAAAACAGTGGTAGTAGCGATATCTATAGAATGGATGTTTTCATGTATAAAAATTGTCTTCAAATTTTTCCTTTCTTTTGTCCTAAATGCTAATACCCAGTCTTATGGTGAATTATTTTATCATTGTGCAACATCTTTTATGAATTTCTATTTCTTAAATTTCTTATATATCAGGTGCGCTAATAGACAAGAACAGTACTAAATTTAAAGATATAAGTTCTAGAGCTGATGTGATGGCAAATGCCTATAATCCCAGTTAGTTCTTTATAGTAAAAGCCTGTCTCCCTTTAAAAAAAAAAAGTAGTTTCTGCTCTCAAAGGAGATACTCAAATCAACAGTTGGTATAATATATATATTAATATATATATGTATATATATATGCTACATAATATTTCTTCAAATATATTTTCTTCTGTGTATGATGGCTATAACAGATTTAACTCAGCTTGAGAGTAAGGAAAGAAAAATGCTACTATGCTAAATAATTTACAGTTTGATTATGAAACATGAAATAATTTTTGAAATGTTAAAATATATTTGGGTAAGGTATATGGGTTTTGGTTTATTTTGATTGGGTTTTTTGGGGCTCTTTTTGTTTTTTTGTGTGTGGATTTGTTTGTTTGTTTGTTTTTGTTTGTTTTCAGGACAGGATTTCTCTGTGTAACAGCCCTAGCTGTCCTGGAACTCACTTAGTAGACCAGGCTGGCCTCAAACTCACAGAGATCTACTGGCCTCTGCCTCTTGAGTGCTGGGATGCCTGGCTATCTATATGTATATAAAATGAGGTGATGAGGTGTAATCCAGCTATAATGTCTGCCTTCTGTCTCATGTCATATTTACATACTTTCTATATTGCTCTATAAGGTTCATGAGAATGTTGTGTTTATCTTTGAAATTCTTTCAGTGTTCAAAGCAATGACCGTAGGAGAAGGATGACCTAAGCTTGTCTTGGGACAGGGGTGTGGAGTCATGCAAGTAATGCTTGAGCTACATCCCTGACCCCCATTTCCTATCCTTACTCCCTTCTATAGTGCTGGCTATCTATTGTGTTTCTTAATCTGTGGTGAAGGGCACCTTTATAAAAGTTGTCAGTTTCTAATCTGTGCTGTATTTCTTTTTTGTGTAAATTGAGTAAATTATTAGATTTTAAAATAATCATTAGAAAAACTAAAAATCAGAAATAAAAATCCAAGTCTATATTTTTACTAGTCAATATATACAAATTTTATATAATATATATATATATAATTATTCTGCTGAGTTACTATAAAACTTTTTAAGTTGCTATTTATTCTTGGTAAGCCTGGTTTTTGGCTATGTATTCCAGGCTAACCTCCACTTTGCAACAATTCTCTTTTTTCAGTCCCCCAAGTATTAAGATTATAGGTATGCATCACCATGCCTGAGTATTTAATGTTGTTTTTCTTTATATATATATATATTTTTTTTTTCTTGGTTTTTCGAGACAGGGTTTCTCTGTATAGCCCTGGCTGTCCTGGCTGTCCTGGAACTCACTCTGTAGACCAGGCTGGCCTCGAACTCAGAAATCTGCCTGCCTCTGCCTCCCAAGTGCTGGGACTAAAGGCGAGCGCTACCACTGCCCGGCAAATGTTGTTTTTTTTTAGACATGAAACTTTAGGATTATTTTCAATTCTGCTTTCTGTCAGCTTCATGGTAGTGCTGATTGATTTGTTGTTGTTGCTTCTGCTGCTGCTGCTGTTATGGTTTAGTTTGGTTTGTTGAGGTAGAGTTTCTCTGTGTAACAGCACTGGCTCTCCTGCAACTCTTTTAGTAGAGATGGCTGGTCTTAAACTCACAGAGATCTACCTGTCTCTGCATTCTGAGATTAAAGGCATGAGCCACTGATTGATTTAAAAGATATATCTGAACTGTCTCGTATATCTTCTTTCTGCTTCTTAGCTGCAGTATTATACTACCCTCCTGAAAATCACCCTTCATTTTCTTTCCATATTTTTACATTTCTGGAAGAGTAATTGTTTTTAAGTTCTTTGCTTGTCCACCTATCATCCCTCTGCCTAAGTACCTGTGACAGTACCAAACCCCTGAAATTCGTTTGTCTCTCCTCAGTGCTCTCTACCAATTCATTGTTTCTCTATTTGTTTTGTTTTAGCTTCAATATAGGCATTGTCCTCTACTGGGGCATACGTCTTCCCATCTAACCAATACAACTTAGCTGTTCACAGTGCTCTATCTAATATAACTCAAAAAATGGACAAACATGTTAGTCTATCAGTAGTATTAGGTTTGAATCTGGACTTTTTCTATCAGTTTGTGTGTATACTCAGCAGATGACCTAGCTGAGCTTCATGGCCCTGTCTATGAAGTTGTGATCCTGATAGCAATATCACATGTTATTTTCTTTATTCTTGCCCTTTGTTCTCTCTACCAATGTGTGATCTTTCCCTTCAAACCTTAAGAAATGTCTAGTATTAGTATTTTCTGTCCTAGATTACAATATAAAATTGAAAGTTCTAATTATTTCTCCTCTGTAATCTCTGGATGGATAGATAGATAGATAGATAGATAGATAGATAGATAGATAGACAGACAGATAGATAGATAGATAGATAGATACTCAGTCTCACTACTTAACCCAGTCTTACCTGTTACGCAGATTGACCTGCTGCACTTGCTGAGTACTGGAATTATAAGTGTGCAGCAAAATAACTAGTTTACCCTCAGACTCTTGAAATGTTCAACACTCAGAATTTAGTGTCTGTTTCTGTTATTCTCAGATTGACTAAGGCTGGTTTTCATTTTAGGAGAGAGCTGCACCTGAATGATATAAACATGTTCTTAGTTCTTTCTCAAACTGTCATTTAGTCCACTTAGCAAATATTTAATCCATTCTGATGTATGTCTATAGATTCAATATGGGTGCTACTTCATTATTCTTTTTACTACATAATAGTTAACATGGTTTATTGGAAGGGAGAGAAGACCAACATCTGATCTCCAGGGTTCAAAGTCATGGACATAATGATTTTAAAATCCAAAGGGTAAAAAGAACATGCCAGAGCTAACTCTGGGTCCTCTGTAGCTATCAGTATAACCTAATGACAAGTTAGATCTGGCTTCAAGCCGTTCAGTGATGTTCTCTTGTTTGTACAATGAGAATTATGTCTTTGTTACATAATATAATTAACCAAGTGCTGAGTTAATGTTAGCTGACTGCCTGTGTTCTTTTTAGTATTCCATTTCCACTTCTAGTATATTCTATAAATATTTATTGAATGAATATTATAAGCCCATTCCTTAATATTTTAACATATTTTTCTTTTTTGAGGTAGGGTTTCTCTCAAACTGTTCAAGCAGTTGTCTACATGAAATGGTATGAAATAATACTTGGTCAAACAGAGTGTGACCAACAAAATGTATAGGGAGTAAATTTACTCCCACATAACTATAATCTCTACCGAATGCTCTGGCATTTTCCCTATTGTTTTAAGAGAATATTAAACTTGAAATCTAGTCTATGTTGATTAACTGGGAGTCTTCTATTAGATAATTCAATCGTTTTAAAGCTTTTCCTTATAAAATAGGATGAATTATACTAGATGGTATCTGCTTCCTATAACTCTAAAAGTATATGTTTGTATGCTTAGCTTGGCACTCACTAATGATATGCATTTGTATAGGGGATGAGCCTGAGCTCCTCAGAAGACATAGCTTCTTTGATGACAACGTATTAATGAACTCCAGTGGTCTTGCAGTTGAACATAGTTCTGGAAGCATCGCTGAGGAAAAATCTTTGTTCTTTGACAATGGAGATGGATTTGGAGATGAAGGAGCTGCAGGGGAAATGATTGGTATGCTTTTTGGCTATAAAAAATAAATATTTATTTTAATCAAATCACCATAAAGTAACTGTTTTGTTACATCAAATTGACTTTTCAGATACATATCTGAGCCTGTACGCCAACTTATTTTTCACATATATTTTCAAATATATGTATATATTTTTAGTATTATTAGTATTAGTATTAGTATATCTGTATAGTATTTTTAGGCTAGGCCTAAGTTAGTAGTCATCTGTCTCTATAGAGGCTATTAATTCCTGCCTATTTTTGTTTGTATCCTTAAATTTTGGAAAGGAGAAGTGAGATTAGCATACACTTCACAAAATAGACTAGATTATATGCTGGTAACATCTTCTTTAATACAAATTGTGGAATAGATATTCTTCTTGTATTCTTATATTCTTATTGTAGCATTTTATATTTAAATTAAAATATTAGTATAAAATATACAATTCAGAGAGACACTAAGAAAACAAAAGTATGTGTTTTAAAGATTATTAATTATACAAAGTACGTTTACAGATTTTTTTCCAGGTTGCATTAAAAGTCTTATTAACAGTCAGGCATAGCAGCTCATACCTGTAATCTTCGCGTTTAGGAAGCTAAGGCAGAATAATCTTGAGTTTAAGGCCAGCCTAGACTGTATAAGGAGTTCTAGGTCAGTTCACTACATAATGAAACTCTGTCTCAAAAAAATAAAAATAAAAAAGAGAGAGAGAGAGAGAAGGGAGTAGGGAGAGAAGAGAAGAGGGGTCAGAAAAAAAATAAGTGTGGTTATCCGTGTGTGAACCAGGGCTTCTTAAACTTTTTCCACCCACAACCCCTTTTTGCGCAACCCCTTTTTCCTATGTGGTCCTGAGTGTATAGGTATATAAAATATGTATAACAAAGGGCTGGAGAGAGAGCTCAGTGGTTAAGAGCACTGATTGCTCTTCCAGAGGTCCTGGGTTCAGTTCCCAGCACCCACAATAAGGCTCACGACCACCTGAAACTCCGGATTCAATAAATCTAATGCCACCTTCTGTCTTCTGTGGACACTGCATGCATGTGGTGCAAAACATATATACAAGCAAACACCCATACACATAAAATTTAAAAATATATTCAAACAATTTTTAAATGTCTATATAAACAAAATATTAGTTGAAAATAAATTACAGAAATGTATTCTAAAACAATTATTTGGTATACTATATCACTTTACCACTTGTTAAAATAAATATACACAAAATTGAGATGGTGCTTATTTACTTACATTAAGAAAAAAAAATCTCTGCTAAACTTTTGATACTGCAGAATGTAGAACATTTTCATTGTTTTTCAGAGGTGACCAGTATTTCAATTTTAGAATTTGTAATGCTGAGTTTGTAACACTGATTTGCATAAGTAGCCATACAAGATGATATAAGTATGTTTAGTTATAATCTAAGAATGTGTTAATTTACACTGAGATATGATAGGAAAGTATTAAATGTATTTACTATAATTAAGTCATGTTTCTATTAGAACAGAAATTGCTTTACACATAATAAAAACAATGAAATTCATAACATACAGTAATCTTGAATCTGTGCCAAGATATTTCAGACAGTGCTTTTGGCATTGCATGACACATGATAGCACACACAGTGCAAAGTGCACATTATGCATTCAGACCCAAGACCACGGTAAAGTGGTGCAATGCAGCGTGGGTGAGCGCTGCCAGAAATACATTTGATTGTTAATTAGTTTTCCTTGTTGCCAGAATTTTCACATCATGCTACCCTTCCTAATTCAGTTATGTGACTCTATATGAAATAAAAACAAATAGTTTTAAGAAGCTGGAGTAAATTGTCTTATTAAAATAGTGATAGTAAATGTTTAGTGAGTAAAAATATTTGTTTATGCTTTTAAAGACAATCTATTGCAAGATGAGAATACCTTTTTAGAAGATGCATATTCAAACAAAGAAGTTTCTCTGCCTCCTGAGCTTCCCAGTAGTATAATGGGTATGTTGAAGTTTTTTGCATAGAAAAATGTATAGATGCTGATGTTCAAATCAAGTCAGACCGTGTAAGTTTCAGCAGCACTGCAATGAAAAATATTGTCCTTCAAATTCTTTTATAGCACAGGAAGTTAGATTCTAAAAAGGTAGTTAACCAGGACTGGCTTTCATAGATCACATTTATTCTTCCCAAGTAGTATGCTTTCAAATCCTAAAAAAAAATATGCTTTATGGGAAGAGAAATCATCATATTATATACCTTAACCATTGATAAATAATTTGAGAGAAATTATAAATTTCCAAATGAGCATATTTTCCTCTACTTGAAATTCTTATCAAAGTATCTCAGATCAGTTGAGATCTTTAAGATAGTACTTTTTCCAGAAGTATTTAAAGTCTAGTTAACCTCATTTTTGTTTTTCTCAATGTTTGACGTTACATTTGCTTTCTAGCACAGTAATCAAAATTAAACTATAAAAAGTATTGGCCAATCAAAATTTAGCTATGGTTCTTTGTTAAGTCCATTGATGGTTCAAATGAACATAAATATTTTGGTTGTCATAGAAAATTTATATTGGTAATGTTTTGCATTTCTGCTGTGACTGTAGCCCAGCCTGAGTTACTTCATATGCTAAAGAGGGTGATGTTACTTGACATTCAAATGTTGTAGGTCCCAGACCATTTATTACTGAACCTCGTTGCCACTGTTAAAATTCATGATTCTAAGAATTTACTTATCACCCCAGCTAGCAGTATGTCCTCAATTATTCTTTATTTCTCATATTCTCTTCTAATATGTAGCATAGTCATGTGTTTTTGTTTTTATGGTTCTTTTATTAGTAGAACCAGGTGATTCAGATGACCAATATATACCTGAAGATGAAAAAATAAATGAAATAACATTAGTACCAAATGAAGAAGATGGATTTACTCTTGAGCCAATTGATAATTTAGGTAAGAGGTTTCATGTTTTTATTTTTATCTTTGGTACCCTGGTATCTTAATTGGTTTGAGATATGCTGGTAGGGACTAGCCCAGCATCCAGTTTCCCAAGGAGGACAGCAGAAGGGGGTGTGGAGTCAGCAACTGGGACCAAAAGCTGCTTACTTCTGGCAACTTAACTCTTTCTTGCTATTCCAGGGCCAAAAGCTACTGGCTTCTGGCAATTTGACTCCTGCATAAATAGCAGTAAAGAATTAAGAAAAAAGCTTAGTTACTTGGGCTCTTTTCTCTTTGGCTCAAGGGACCCCCCCCTTTCACCAGGCGAGAGGCTCAAATATACACTTGAATGCTCTCTCTCCCCCCCTCCTCTCCTCTCCTCTCCCTCTCTCTCTCTCTCTCTCTCTCTCTCTCTCTCTCACACACACACACACACACACACACACACACGCACGCACGCATCAGGCCTGACCACCTGTTTCATCAGTTTTACAAGTTCAGATGCATACTTATAAACATACACATACATGCATGCATATATACTTATATGCATGCATATGTATATACATACAGGCATATATACTTATATGGATGCATATGTATATACATACAGACATATATATACACACACACATTTGGTGAATGGAACAGAGCCCCAACAGCCATACTTTACTTCTTTTCTCAGCCTTTTTATACCTTCTTAGACAAAATTCTTTATAAAATTATATCATAGATAAAATGTTACACAAAAGGAGAGTTATAGAAAAATATCAATAGTGAGTTCAAAGAAATAGTTTCACACAGCTTTGCTTTATCATAGTGCACACCTGTGGCTCCATCCTTGGACTTGACCTAGAATGAATGTTTTCCCTTAATCACAAATTTGTCTCAAACCCATTTCTCTTCTTAGTGTAATTTATGAAAGCTCATTGTATTCCTTATTATGCAGACTTTATTTACTGTCTGTTCTATGAGGGGATACATTCTATTCTTGAACCTATTATGTTTTTCTGACAAAAAAAAAAAAAACTAAATCCATCTCCTTACATTTTCTTCCTAAAACTATTTGAATCAAATCAGGAATTCTATAAACTCATTAATTCATCCAGACAGCATTAATTTATGAAAGTTCATCTTCATGTTGACCTGCAGGACATTTGCCCAATAGGTTGGGCTGATGCCCAGGAGTCATTAGTCTATGTAATAATGATAGGAAAGGCATGTCAGCAGTGACAGGCAATCCTGGGATGAAGTCTCTGGGGCTGTGCCTCTCCAGGTTGCACCCATCACAGCCATGCAGAATGGTGGGCCATCTCCACATGCTTGCCATAGCCTTTTCTAGATGGCTTCTGTCAATATGTAAGCAATCCATACAACACTATAGAAGGCTGCCAGCATAGTAATAGCATTGGGCATTAAATAGGAGAAGAATATGAAAGAAATCTTAGATAATTCTTCCATCACATTTAGTCTGATTCAAATCATAGATCCAGTCTGGAAAGATGGAAACTTAAAAACTGAGTTCAATTCAAAATATTTTCAGCTTTACTAAATAAAATCTGGACCTCTGCATGATATGGAATTAACTATCTACTTTAAATTCATATATGAATTTCAGTGTGGTGGGTGAAATACACTAGAGAGATACACACTAATATTTTGAAACATCCTTTTACACATTTAAAAAATGAAAAGCTCCAGATTCTTTAACAGCCCTTTCCCTCTTTGCTGTGTTTCTTGAGTTGCCCACTTAACAAGTGAACAGTCCCTCCTAAGCATCCTCAGATACCTTGAAAATGGATCAGCTCTTGACTGTCAGATACTCTAGCTTTGCAAAACCTTTACAAAGCATATTTTCAGAGAACAGAAGTATTCACTTTCTTCCTACTGCAACCCTGCAGGTTATCTGTGACTTTTAAGATATTAGCCAATAATAACATTTTACAAAATATTCTAAGTCCATTTATACCTGTTTCTCTCTAGATATTGCTGATAGAAGGAAAAGAAAAAAGAGGAGATTGCTCATAGATCCAGTCAAGGAGATAAGTAGCAAGACTATGCATAAGCAGCTCACCTCCTTTATGGACACTCTCATGGTGCTGGACCTCGCGCCCCCCACACAAAGATTGATGATGTGGAAGAAGAGAGGAGGAGTGGATACGCTCCTGTCAACCGCTACCCAAGATTTGATTAATGATGAATTGAAAATGGTAATTGTTTTCATCTTTTTGCATGAATATGATGTTTTTTATAAATAAATATTTCTTCATTTATAACATAACTGGACATGTGGGAAAAAGAAACCTTTATATTAAAACTTAATTTGTCTAAAAAATGAATATGAGTGGCTTTTACTTTTATTTTTTTTCTAGAGACAGAGTCTCATTATATAGCTCTGGCCATCCTGGAACTCATCATGTAGACCAGGCTGGCCTCAAATTTACATGTATGTGCCTGCCTCTGCCTCCTGAGTACTGAAATTAATGGCATGTGCCACTATGTCCAGCTTGAAAAAAAGTATATGAAAAGCTTTTACTTTTTTAGCATATGGGCTTATACTTTATTGAATTGCTTTACTAATATAAAATTGAGTGTATAAATGTGTTGTTAACAGTTGTTTGCAAAATGCTTCCTGTCCTCTGACTATAAACTTGCAAAATTGACACAGAAGGAGTCAATAAGGAAAGAAGTGGAAAACCAGCACAATCCAGGTGAGACTTCTAGTTCTGTTCATGTCAAGGGGAAGGTTGCACAGACAGAAATTGAGTTTTATGTTTCATAATGAAAACTGGGTTCAAATCTCTCTTTTCAGATATCTCTATCTATAGAAGAATATCGTAAGTTAAAATATTACCTTAGTATAGCAGTTTTCTGCTTTTCACATTAATTTCTGCCTCAAGACTTTACTGAAATGATAAAATATAGGCCAATTCTGATGTCACAGGCCTGAAATCCTACCTACTAGGGTAGAAGGAGTGCAACTTCAAGGCCGGCCTGGGTTACAGAGCAAGTTCAGAGCCTGCCTGGCTCTGTTTCAAACTAAAACACACTAAAAAGGGCTTGTGGTATAGCTTAGTGTAGAGTACTTACCTAGAAGATGTGAGCCCTAGGTTTAATCCCCAGTATCCCAGTATCCTCACCACACATATACAGAAGAATATATAT